GATGCATTTTCTCTCTCCTTTTTTAAAAAGTGGTTTCATTATAGCGTATTTTAAGCGTTGAGGAAAAGTACCTGATGATAAAGATTTATTACATAGATGATTCAAGGGTCTGTGGGTCTGTGCATCCTCCCAATATTGCCAGAGCAATGAAGAATTGTTAGAGGTGTCGCTTTCTGTGTGGTTTGTGTCATATTAAAGGAATGTAGGCAATTATTTCTTGTCTTGTGGTGGTTTCAGAATATACGTGTGCATGCTGCATAGACCTCCAGTTTTACGGTATGCATTGACAATAACAGCAGCAGTTTTCCCCCTATGTCAAATATTAGGGAAACAGCTTATGTAACTGATGAAGATTATGCTTAATGTCAAAATTTATAGGTTTTCTCTCCTGACCCCTTATCTACACAAGAGTGCAGTAAACAATTTATAATGGGCCTTGATGTACCACAAAATCTGGATGTGTACAGATGTGTATTGTAGGCATGCTGAGGCACTAAAAAGTTCTGTAGTTAGAAACTATTTTAAATAAAAAAGAACCCCAATATTAAACCCTTTATGTAATCACATAGCATGTTTTACATTTTGCATGTACTGTGTCTATGATTCATATGATATATTTCCCTGAATACCCTATCACTTGGTCACAGTGGACATCAGTGATAACGGACGCTTTGCCCCCACTGTTGGTCCTTTGTAATGAAGGTTTACTGTATATACTGTGATGTGCATGTATCATATTCACTCACGTTATGCCCCCCCCCTTGCTATTTTTAACACTGAAAGTAGGGAAGGAATTATCCAGATATGTTCCCATTTTCTTGGTGCTATGTAACAGAAGCTTCACACTTCTAAGACATTTACTCCTGTACTATTGCATGACCCCTATAGAACCCCACATATCTCACCAGTGCTGAGTCCTGATGAGGTCATCACATTTTTCAAGTGACTTGATCGTTCCAGCCACACTATGGCCCGGGGATCAACTCAGCCTCTTACAGTACCAGGAATCTCCCTGGGGGTAAGGGCAACTGACATAAGGCTAGCAACCTAACCACCATCTGTGAGGCAATTGTCCAAAAAATGTGGGATCATGAACATCTCACAAGCCTGTGGGTCTCCATGGCCTGTCACAGAGATGAATGAATGAATGTATGAGGGGTAGGCCTCCTCGGCCCTTGCACCACGACCTACTGTGGTCTATTCTGCTTCCCCTTTTGATTATCCCCTCAGCAATCCTGTGCTTCAAGTAAAGCGCAGGATTTTGTACGTGGGGGCGTCAAAATTGTCACTTGGTTCCATAAAGTATTGACCCAAGTGATGTAATCTTAAATAAGCTGAAGCCTTACATTCACACAGGACATGTGTGGCTGTTTCATTTTCTTCTTCACACCTCTCACAAGTGGGACTATCACTTAGTCCCTAGGGCGCGCCATAGCTCAAGCAGTTAGTCGCTGGCTTCCCGCCGCGGCTGCCCGGGTTCGAAACTTGGGTCTGGTCAAGTGGGATTTGTGATGGACAAAGAGGCACTGGGGCAGGTTTTTTCCAAGTACTTCGGTTTGCCCCGCCAATCTTCATTCCACCAATTGCTCCACAATCACCCTCACCTATCATCTGGGGCTGGTACAATAGGCCAGAAGTGGCCGCAGTACAAGGGCCTTAATCCCACCCCACTATCAATAAAAAATAATCAGTTAGTCCCAGTTTGAAAAAGTGTCCTGTAAGTAGTTCCGCCACCCATCGTCACTGGTTCCTGTTTAACTTCAAAAGTTCCCTTGCTCTTTTAGCTGAGGGTGCTCGTATGAGTCCCTCTGCTTGCCCGAGTCCAATCAAGGATCCCCAGTATTTCTTGTGATTCATATTTGTCCAGTCCCTGATTGCCTGTCTGGCAGCTCCTGTAGAAATGCCACAGGCTGGTTCAGGTCCTATGAACAGATGTTCAGCTCCAATCTTAGCTAGTTGGTCTGCTGTTTCGTTTCCAGCAATACCCTCATGCCCTGGCACCCATACCAGTTGTACCCTGTTATGTTTAGCCAGTTTCATGAGGGTTTGATGGCAATCCCAGGCCAATTTTGAATTGATCTGGTGTTTGTCAAGCGCTTTAAGTGCAGCTTGGCTGTCAGATAGAATGTAGATGTTCCTATTTCTGTAGTTCCTATCTAGATTCTCCATAATACTTGCCTTAATGGCATATACTTCTGCCTGGAATACTGTCCTGTATTGCCCAAGGCTGAAACTAAGTTTCTGCCTCGTGCCATAGCAGAACATATCAGCTCCAGTGCCCTTATTTATCTTGGAACCATCTGTATACCAGATCAGTCCCCCTTTTCTATTGGGCCGAAACCCATCTTCCCATTCACTCCTGTCAGAAAATCTGACTGTGAAGGGTTTTTCACATACATGTCTCAGTATCATTTTGTCAGGCCCCCATTTGTAATATGGGTTCTTTTTTCATGTCCTGGGTTATGTATGCATGACCGAAACCATCGGATCTAGGTTTCCATTGATCACTGCACTGGAGATGGTAGATTCTTGCCCTGGCCTCTGCCTCCAACTGTAGAGGCAGTGGGGGGAGTCCAAGGAGTGTCTCCAGGGCAGCTATTGGAGATGTTTGAATTGCTCCTGTGATACCCAAGCAAGCCAACCTTTGCAATTTGCTAAGTTCTGCCTTGCTTCTCTTGAGTTTAACTCTGGGCCACCATACTGTGGCGCCATATGTAATTATGGGTCTTACATCCGCAGTATATGTCCAATGCTCAACATGCGGCTGCAGTCCCCAAGTTTTACCAAAGATGCTTCTGCATGTCCAAAAAGCCTAATAGGCTTTATTAATGACCTTGTCCAGCTGCATTTTCCATGTCAGTCCCTTGTCTAATTCTAGACCAAGGTACTTGACATCGCTGGAGAGCTGGATCGTCTTATTGAAGAGGGTCAGTCCCTTAAGGCCCTTTATATTTCTCTTCCTAGTAAACGGTGTGATTACCGTCTTATTGGAATTGATAGAAAGACTTGTTCTTTCACACCATCATTGGACCATGTACAGAGCTGTTTGAAGAGACTCTGATACTGTCGAAAGGAATTTTATGTTTATGAGAATTACTATGTCATCAGCTTATCCTACTGTATAATACCCATCACCATTAAGTCCCCACAGGAGATCGTCAGCGACCAGGCTCCACAGCAGAGGCAAGAGCACGCCCCCATGTGGACACCCCCTAGACGCAGACACCCCCAGGATTTCTCCTGATAATGTAGCAGTTATGATTCTGCTTTCCAGCATAGCACTGATCCACCTGCATATTGCAGGCTCTATGCCATGCTTTCCAGCGGCCTGTTTGATTATATCAAATGAGGTTCTATCGAAAGCTCCCTCTCTGTCAAGGAATGCTCCTAAGGCAATATCCTTGTGTTCAATCACACTTTCTATGCATGTTAGCACATTGTGTAGTGCGCTCTTGGTAGATTTACCTGTTTGGTAGGCATGCTGGTTTCGGT